ATCTAAAGCAGTTGTTTGTATTCATCAAAAAACCCTGACTTTAGCACCATCTAGTGTTGGACACATAAATTACACAGTGTTTGAAGGAGGCGCAGCAAATGGGAAAAATCTAAGTAACTAACCTTAATCTTGGTCAAATAATTTGAAATGACAAAAAAAATTGGCAAAAATTTTAAAACATGAAACATGCTCAAAGAAAAAAGTTATTTTAACACAACAACAAATCTTCAGTGAGGTTTCTGATTGCTCAGTACAAAAACACAATTATGATTTAAAACAAACATACATTTTAAAATGTTTTCAGGTGCTAATAGGCAAACATTTTCACATATATTTATTTACAAAGCCATATGGGGTTATTATTAATGGTGTTACTCGGTGGTCAAAAGCAGCAGTCTTGTAATCCTGAGACTGCAAATAGAGATAAGGTCCTTAGAATAGCACCAGACATTGGGCTAGTGAGTGTGTGCATAACAACTTAGACAAGAACCCATCTCTAGTGGGATGTTCCTGGCCTGTAGAGACGTGACCAGTGAGATAACCACAATCTGCCGTCTAAGCGTAACTAAACGCTCTGGCCGTGAAGAGTGGCCAAACAATAAAACTTTTAAATAATCATTACTGTAAACCTGTAACACCTTTCTCTGCAAACTGCATTGCTTTTTTCAGCAGGATAATTATCACGGCCAACAGAAAAATGCAAGTCTGGTTACAATAAATCCATTCTTTGCAATGTGCTGATGCTTTGGTACAAGATTTCACTGCAGATCTTCAAGAGTTTCCATTAGAGTTCAGACTTCATATGTCGGGACTCTTTGATGACAAAATTAGACCAATTCAAAAACAAATGTATGCTCCTAAGTTTATGCTCACTTTATCACCATTTAATTACAAATTTGTAACATAATCTTTTCAGAAGTAACTGTCTGGGTTACTCCAGCTACTTCTCATGCATATTATAGCCTCGTTTCTCCTTATTAGGTGAGCTACAAGACAAACTGCAGCCGGTATTCTTGCTTGTTTGTTTTGAAGTTGCAGTCAGCTCAGCTGTCTTGGGTGAAATAAAACCTCAGCATGAAGACTCCAAAACATCATGATGTCCGTTAATCTGGGTATTACCAGATCTCAGTTTAGAAACTTGCTTAAGGTCATTGTCTGATGTAATATGAAAAGCTCAACCAAATGAGTACAAGTCTTTAAAGGTCTCTTCTGAACATTCATTAAAATGTGTTTAAGCATACCAACCTGCATGTTCTGTATGTCTGGATCCTCCTCCTCTTCGGACACAACATCCTGTTTGGGGTTTTTTTGTATCACCGTGTCAGACATGGCATGGAGCACTTTTCTCTGACACTGAGAATCATCTTGACCATCCTCATCATCACTGGACAAAACAACTGTAACGCAAACATAAAAAGGAAAATACTTTGGCAAAAGCATTTTTTTTTCTTAAATGTAACTTCTCTGCTTCTCTGTCTGTCAGGTCGACTCAGCCTCACAAATGGCCTTATCTGACCTGGGGTTTTGAAAATATAGAAAGCTTTGAAGCAGCTTCAGGTCAGTAATTTAAGGAAAAAAATTTAAAAATAAACATCTAAATTCTTCTTGAAATTAAATCCCAAGAAGTCCAACATTTTACTGATCACATCAACTCTATGGATAAATATTTAAATCTCACATGAGAGAATGTAAAAAAATGGCAGGTTGGCTTCCCTGCACTGTGACGTCTCAGTCTCTGATGGAGGATGGCTGGAAACTGACACGTACCACAAACCCACCACATAGATCAGTACCACAGAGCACACAGGGTCCCCACAAACCCAGGAGCCAGAAAAAAGAAAAATCCCACACAAGACAGGCCCTGAAGCAGTGTGGATATCCTAACTGGGCTTTCCCAAAAGCAGTCAAGAAACCCAAACAAGACTCCAGCCAACCCAACCATCAGGTGAAAATGAAGACCCCAAACCCAGAACAGTGGTCATTCTGTATGCTGCGGGAGTCTCAGAGAAACTGAGACATTTATTCACTAAACATCACATCCCAGTGGCTTTCAAACCCCAAACCACATTATGGCAATGACTGGCTCACCCCAAAGATCCAGCCCCCCCTGCACAAACAGAGTAAGGTAATATTGTGTATGCTGTTAAGTGTCAGAAGGACTGTGATCAGCTATACATCAGGGAAACAAAACAGCCACTGTTCAATAGAATGGGCCAACACAGTAGAGCAACATCATCAGGCCAGGACTCTGCAGTTTACACTCATCTACAGACCAGGACTCTGCAGTTTACACTCATCTACAGACCAGGACTCTGGAGTTTACACTCATCTACAGGCCAGGAATCTGCAGTTTACACTCATCTACAGGCCAGGAATCTGCAGTTTACACTCATCTACAGGCCAGGAATCTGCAGTTTACACTCATCTACAGGCCAGTGGTCACTCTTTCAGGGATGAAGATGTTCTCATTCTTGATGGAGAGGAACGGTGGTTTAAGACAGTGGTTCCCAAAGTTGGGGTCGGGACCCAAAGTGGGGTCCTGAAACATCAAGGTGGGGTCCTGAAAAGATTTTCTAAATTAATTAAATTTTTGCCTTAGTTGCATAAAATGTATAAATGTAGAATAATAAATATTGTTCCTATGCCCATGTTTAGTTGACCTGATACAAATGTTCATCATCCAGAAATAGTTGGGGGCACAGGTCTCTGCTGCTGTTATTTTGTGGGTCAAAAGCTGAAAAGTTTGGGAACCACCACACTTCAGAAATCAATTTAAAGGGCAATAAAATAATTAGTGATATAATATTTTCCCTTTAATTATTATAAAAACACAAAATAAGTATAAATAAGTATTTATATTTGTGTAGCCTTTGTTTTTAGGGTTATTAACAAAGTTTATGTACTCTGACCAGTAATATTTGGGGTCACAAGTTTTTGCCATGAATATTTTGTGGGTCAGAAGATAAAAAGTTTGGGAACCACTGGTTTAAGAGAATCCATCATTAAACAGGGGTGAAGGCCTGTGTCCAGTTGTCCGCTCTTATAGTGCTGTTATTGCAAGTATGACTCAGACCCCTGTGAACAATCGATCTGATAGCTCTCTTTTGTACGTGAACAATCAGTTTTGATTGTCATTATTAAACTTGTTTGTCCGCCATGTGGAGGAGCTTCTTATAATGTTGAATTTACATGTGACTCCTCAGACTGAAGAAGTCTCTTGGAAGGGGGAGAAAACTTTTTTCAACAAAGAGCTCGTTCAGAGGACCTACTCACAGACCAGAAACATGACCTTTAGGTTAATCGATCTAAATTGTCCCTAGGTGAGAAAGAATGGTTGTCTGTTTCATTTGTCTCTATATGGACTTGCGACCTGTCCAGGGTGTACCCCGCCCCTCGCACTGTGACTGCTGGATATGGGCACCAGTGACCCACGCGACCCTGAAAAGGAAGAAGCGTGTACAGAAAATGGATGGATGGATGGATGACCCAGAAAGGAAGAAGCGGGTATAGATAATGGAAGGATGGATGTATCATTCAATTAATATAGCTGTGAATCTTATGATACAGCTATTTACACAAAATTATATAATTGTTTGAAAGTACAAATAGCAGCAGCAGTTGGCTGTAGCACAATTCATAGTACTTTAGGTATAAATATCTTATTTCTCCCTGAACAGTGTGATGATAACCTTAGTACTTTGTGAATGTTTATAAAATACTGTTTACATGATCTGCTACGACACTGGATCTGTTTCAAGATGACAAGAATCCTATTTGGTCTTTGCCCAGCTCAGACTACTTGTTAGAGCGACACAAGCTGCAGAATTATACACGTTAGAACATGGTAACTTTGCTGATAAATAAAGGAAGGGCTGCAGATTCTGTTGTACTTACTTGGTTCAGTGGGGCTGGTTTTAGTTGTACTTTCATGTCTGGATGATAAGCTTTGTTTGTCACTTCCAATTATACCTTCAGCGTCTAAATTACAGGGTACGTCTGGAGCTAAGTCTTGCATTCCGTCATCTCCTCCAACTGTAAACTGTACAATGCAGTGGTCAAAATTTTCTAAGTCCGCATTTTCCTCGTGCTCCTCCTGGTGAGCAGATGTGGGGACCTGTTCTCCATCTTTTCCATCTTCTCCCGACAGGCGCTGATGTTTTGGGCTGCCTGTTCCATTGCACTGGGAGTCGGAAAGCTTCCTTTTACGACTCTATCGAGAGATAAACGTGTTGGTAAATATACACGGCTACTGTTTTTAGAAAATATTTGCAAAAAAGTGTGTATCTACATTTAAATTGAATAACTGAGAATTTCAGGGTATTTGCAGGTTTTAGCAAGTCAAATTTAAGACCTTTTTAATACCACCTTGAATAAAATTTAAGACTGAAAATATAAGCGATGTTTTGGGGATTCTACTGTATTACAACCAAGCATACGTGTGTCACTCGATAAAAAGCACTGAATATAAAGATATTCTGTGCACTCTGGTTAAATTAGCTGTATTGTACAAGTGCCGTTATTTGGTTGGAAACAACCAACAAAAAATACATCTACTAAATACAGTCATGGCATCAAACTTGTGTTTAACCTCCAGTTTTGCCTTTATACAAAAATAAGTCATCCAGCCAACTATCAATAAACATGCACTTAAACATGTACCAACAAATGTCTGGAGGAAGAGAGGGGTTTTAACAACTTTTCTGTAGTTTATTTTTATGTAATATCAGTTTTTTGAATTGAGGTACTCTGATATATTAGAAAAATATAGCACATAAAGTTCCTTTATAAAGAATAATTTACAGGTAAGTTCTTTTTTATTTTTTAATTAATTAATTAGTTTATTTAGTTGTTTATTTTTTGACTTTCACAGATTTCTCCCCTAAAATCAACATGACATTCAAAGGGAATATTTACAGGATTATAACTCATGTAATCATACTGATTGATGATTTTAAATCCTTCTAGAAGGTGACCTGTGACCTATTATGGTCAAAGGTTTTCTATTGCTAATGACCAATGTGTATCCAACACCTACATTGGTAGGAGTTGGATACATTGGGTAAACATACTATTTATTTTTCAAATTTGATCATTTATGATTTATATTTATCCCAGTTCAGTTAGTAATATAGTTCTAAAGATAATAAAAGTTTAGCACATCCAAACAGACAAAGTACCTCTTTATTGTTAAAACATTTTGTAGAATTTAAATTGTTCTTCACGAGTTTGAGGGAAAATTTAATTTAAACTGAGACAAACATCTTTGCTGTGATCTGGAGTCTACAAATATTCATCTTTTAGTGTTAATGTTAAATATCTAATGCAGCAATTACAACTTGTCTCTCACCATGAGAGAAACAGGATGAGCTCCCGATGTGATGTGCTCTCTCTGTCGGACTCAGAGTTTGGTCATGCTCGCAAGTTGCACATGTTTACGTATCGTTTACGCATCAAAGTAACATGAAATGTTCATGTGTGTTTGGCCTGGTGCGCTTTCTATAGTAAAATAATGACAACACTCCACACACAAACGTTTAACACTAAGTTGGACTTTAGATACGAAAGACCCGGGCAGGTTGGGCTCGGTTCTGGACGGGTAGAAGTAACCATGTAACAACTCAGTTAGCTCCTCGACAGCATGTGCAAGTTGCACGTCTTTAAAATAACTATGACGCTGGCTCTTTGTAAGCTTTTATTTTTAAATTTCAATATTTTTAAGGCTGTTAAAAGTACTGTATGATAGTGGTGAATGTCAGAATAAGTACCCACCGAACTCTTTTGCTCTTCTTTTACATGATCTGTTAGCTGGTCGTTGGTGCTTTTTGAGGAGAGCTCATCACAGCTTGTTATGTCTTCAGCGGACTTTGAGTTTAACCCACCGACTGCTTAGGACCAAAACAAACACAAATAATAAAACTAGCATTATTAAGAGGAATGCATATTCTCCTCTACCTTGCATGTTAGACATTTTATACCATCAGTCAGCTCTCAGAGAGTTCCAGATGACTCAGATTCTAACAATAATTTTAGATCAACAAACGCACCCTCTTCTTTAGCAGACTCTTCTTCTTCTTCTTCTTCAGCACATTTGCTGATTATCGCCTCTTTAATATCTTGGTTTTCTTCTTTGTCCTTCTCTTCTTCAGAATTTTGAGCTCTCCTTTTGAGTCTTGTTCTAAACATATGAAATGTCAAAATATTATCTCACTGACAAAAACATATTTCAACTAGATGTTTTATCATTTAGAAGACTATTGCATACTCAATGCCAAGCACTGTAAAATTATGAGAAAGTTTTGAACTTCAGTTTAGACTAAACAAAGCCAACGTTCTCTATGAAGTAAGATATGCTCTTTGTAGGACTTTTCTGATAAACCACTTTTCTCATCATATCAATTTTGAAAACCTTCAAATTATTAATTTAAAAAGGGTTTTCTTACCTTTGAGTGGAGTCAGGAGTTGTTTTATGGTTGCTTTTAGAAGTTGAACTCTTGCTTTTTTCATTTTTATGGAATTCCCTCTGACTAGACCGACTGTTTCTGCAGGTCTGAGGCTCCTCTTTGCTATGACTACTGCTCAGCCGTCCTCTGGCACGTGTGCCACTGCTCATTTTAACCCTTTCTATATAATTCTTTCCCGGTTCTGTTTTTAAAACATCTGTCAGGATGAGAAGTGGCCTCCTATGGGATAAAAAAAAATAGAAAAATGTTTATTATTAACAACATTCCTAGAGCCACATCTCCTCTGCAACATTGTGGCTCGTCAAAGCTTTTAGATAAACCTTGCACCAAATGTTGAACATGAGGGGGCCTGAGTGCTGCAGATAAGCTGCATGTACTGTCATGATAAGCTCAACATCTGAGTCATAAAGCTCAGACACACTATTTCCTTTAAGTGATACAGCTCGGAGATGGGGAAAATTTTTCTTACACAACTAAATGTATGTATGAAAAAAAGAAGCATAACTAGAATAACACATTTTTTTCACACATATAACTTCTTAACTAATGAGCTGCTTGAATAAAATATGAAAAAAGGCCAGCTGTATAACTAATTTCATGTTATTATTAGTGAAGGTTGAAATATTTAACCCAGATCTAAACACACTGTTTTATTTGTTTGCAGTTGCTAAAAAGGCTTTCAGGCTGAAAGCAGCAAACCTTTTCATTTGCATTGCATGCACTTGTTTGTGTGTTTGCCTTGAGAGTTCATCCCATCTCGATGACATTACAATTCAGAAAACAAGTCATACTTGTCGGTTCCAATTCTCAGAATTCACCAGGTGAGAAATAAAACCATCACACTTCAGTTATCAAAAGGATTCAAAAACAAGTTGCTTTGTATTGAAACTCTGAAAATATGGATTCTACAAATCACACCTGTGACACCTGCGGAAGTAAATGCACAATTAAAAGGTGCACTTTTGTTTTATCTTGTTGCTTGGTTTACCTAGTCAGTGTGATAAAAGCTGCCGGACTGTGATCAAAAACCATGGATCCATTCTTTTGAAGTGAACTACCGGATTTATATTTGCAGCCAGCAAATGCAGTCCAGGAAACCTTTTAAAAATATAAAGATATAAGGTGGGGGGGAATAATGAATGCCACCAATAAATTTTGCACATTAAAGTAAACAGATCAAAGATTTTCAGTACCTGTCCTTCTAACTTTCCACACTCAGATGACAGGCAACCCACTGGGATTTTTAGAGGATTTTCCATCTAAAAAGAAAAATGGCAGGAGAAGGGTACTTCACAGCATGATAAGCTTTCATTTCCAAACTCAAAAAGAAACAAACTTTTCCTGTGATAGCAAGTCTAATGTTACTTTATTAACTCAGACTTTTATGTTAAGGCTTTGTTTGTGTTTGTTGTGGAATACTTATATCTGTATCACCTTGACAMTGACCATTGTTCATATCTCATGATATCGTCTGAACGTCATCTTCAAGCTGAACTACTTCATGTACCAGAACGAGGCAGATTCTGATTGGTTGTTCATTATCACATGATGATAGCTGACAGTATAACATTGCTTGCCCGGCCTATGACAGCGGGCCCACATCTAACAGACTTCGTGATTGCTTTCTGTTCCATGTCTGCCAATCAATAAATGACCTTCTGATCATACCCGCAAGACTATGTGTCTCTTTAACACTCTCGCCGTGTTTCTGACCATTCTTGCCACGACAGTGTTCATAGCATCTATTCAAGCTCCTAAATGCATTTCACTTTTTTCTTCTAGCTTTTAAATGGGTGATCATGTGAGACAACAGTATTAAATGTTTGTTGATGACATAAATCTGTTTCAGTTTGATTTTTCCACCTGGAAGTAACTTGTGCTTACAACTTGTAAACAGATGGAGATGTTTGAACTATTTGCATCAATGTCTAAATTCAAACAAAGCTCAAAAAGAGTCTTAGTTCTTCTTTGTGATTACTAAAACTCTTGCTTTTATCTGTAAATATACTGCTTTATGAAATAGTCCTTATGCCTGAGGCAAACAACAATTCTAGTGATTAGCTGCTATAATTAGGGCTGCACGATATTAGGAAGACCTGCGATGTGCGATAGCAGTGCTTAATATTGYGATGACGATATGACTTGTGATAAATGAAATACGTATGTATATGTAGTGTTGATATCTTTCTGCTCTGGGTTCAAAGCCCAAAAAACAACATAAAAAAATCATTTCCATTCCAGCCTGATTTTTTTTTKACCAAATACATGAAGGGCTCTATTTGATTGGTGAAATATTTCAAGCTTCAATCTGAATGACAAAACGCWTAAATGTRAATTTTTGAGTCAACCATTTATTGCAGTTTWTGCAGTTKTTGCGATATGTATATTGCACAGGCTATTATCACAATRACGATAAATTTTCGATATATTGTGCAGCCCTAGCTATAACGACAATCAGTCAAATCAATATTTCATATTGCCTCAAGAAAATGTAGTTAATGCCACAAATTTACAAGATAACATTAGRGGTAATCAAAATAATTTTTAAACAAAACATACCGTGTGGTCTTTGTCAACAGTTAAAGGAAGAGTTAAGGCTTTTCTTCTCTCCATCACAGTTCAAGACATCACARCATACAGCAGGAACACTGCAACATACAAACATATATTTAAAAAACAAGACATACTCTGCGACATATAAAACAAAAATAAAACAACAACAACAGTTGAACTTCTATTCAAACTGGATAGCATGAACAAACGTAAATTTAAATTAACTAATGCTGACCTTTGGCACAAGGGTCACATTTAAGTTTCTTTTCTTTGTCATTCTAACTACAATAAAAATAGTGTGATGAACCTGTGTGTCTTGTGTCTAATGCGAGTCCAAACAGGTAATCAATAAATAAACATACAGTCCTGATGAAAATTAAGAACAGTTGAAAAATGGCAAGAATTCACATTTTGGGTCAAAGGAAGGTTCTAAGTAGAGCTTCAAAATGCAAAAAGAAGAAATGGGAGTGAGATAAAAAAAATCTGTAAGCATCTTATTGCAAACAACCATTATGCTGAACTAGGCTGATCATCAGCTGATCAAACRTTTAAGACCCAAATCTTCACAAAAATGTGGATTCAGTGTCATTTTYAGGTATCCACAGTGTCATGACCTCCTGATGGCTAAAGCAAAAAAATGTCTTTCTTTGAACGTGKTTAGATTGTTGAGCTGCATAAGCAAGCATGCCATTTCTTCCGAGGTTGGACACAGTAAGACAGTCTTTTAGACATTTCAGACATTTTAAACTTATTAAAAGATCCTGAAGGTTATGGACCAAAAAATTCAAGTGGTAGACCCAAAAACATTTCACYGGCCCTGACCAGAAGGATCAAATTGGCTGTCCGTCAAAACACAGGACAATCCTCGACCAAAGTTAAACTTGAGTCGTCACGGGTGCCAACTGCAGTCCCATAACCATCAGACAGCATCTGTGAGAGAAGGGTTTCAGGAACAAAAAAATCTTCAAAGTCCTCATTTYCTTCAAYGGCACAAAAKTGCCCATCTAGAGTTTGCCCAWGAGCACCAWACATGGGACGGTAAAAGGTGGAAGAAAGTTTTATTCTCTGRTGTGAAAAAATTAACCTTGATGGTTAATTAATTGAAGCCTGATGGCTTTCATTACCAGCATGACAAGGAGATCCCATCAAAGATGTTTTCAATACGGAACGGTGGAAGGGACACCATCATGATCTGGGGGGATTTTTCCTTCAATGGMCCAATTCARAGCTTCAGGTTGTGCARAGGCATCAAACAGCAGCTGGCTAWGTGTAGATGTTGCAGGGGGTATCGCTCATTACTGAAGGCCATCGCCTGTGGGGTAATGACAGGGTTTTTCCAACAGGATAACATTGCAGTTCATAAGGACCAAGGAACTTCCAGAGAATAATATCACTCTTTTGGAAAATCTTGCGAGTTCCCMAGAYCTAAATCCAACTGAGAACATTTGGGGTTGGATGGCAAGGAAAACACCAGATCCAGAAAGTGGATGCCCTCYGTGAAACCATCTTCACTACTTAGAGAAACATTCCTGGATCACTAGAATTAGGCATGCCAAAACTAAATTTTGAGGTGATTTACAAGAATGGCTCAGCTACTCAGTACTGATTCCTTTTTTTATGTTTTTCCTTTTTTTAAGATATGATCCTTTGATCATAAACCTTTGATCAGCTGGTGAACAGACTACTTTAGCTTAATACGTGTTTACAAATGCTTACTCAGATGTTTTTTTGTCTCTCTCCCATTCCTTTTTTTATTATTATTATTTTTCCTCGAAGCTCTATTTCGAACCTTCCTTCGAGCCAATAGTGCAAAATTTGAATYCTTGCCACTTTTCAACTGGTCTTAAAATTTTGATCAGGGGTGTAAATAGTGGTGAAACTTATTTAGGTGTAACTAGCATCTATGCCAATAGTCATAAAATCTGGTCCTCAATGGACACTACACTGTTTTAGTTGAATGTGGTTTATGTCTCTTTTTTACATGTCCCGAATGAATGAGAATACACAAGCATTTATCCAAAGATTACTGCATAGTTAGCGTTTGATAAGAAAATTCTATTTTTAAAAAAAAGAGAAACATAGGGTAACGCCGTGATCTCAAGTGGCACATATCGAGCAACAACAAACCATTTATGTTTCTTTTGTTGTCAGAGATGCTGATAGTTTYACTGCATGAAACCTGTTTTGTTTTATATTAAAATTATATACTCACATTAAAGCTCTTGGCACACCCTCGMAGACACAACATGTTTGACTTGTCAGATACTTTTTTTTAGACTAGGACAAAATGGAATTATTGTATTGTGCTAACATTAGCCGACCAAAGCTAACAGCGTTGATGCTAAATCTGTTCCGCGATACTAAACGCAGCAGAAACTAACCTTGCCTGAAGACAGAACCTCATTTAATATGCTCCCACTGTATCAGAAAAAAAATACGACTGTTTTGGACAAATTAGTTTGACCACGCACGCACCTTACAATTACAGGCAGCAGACTCAAAATAMCACTGACTGTGCTCAGGCTATTTTGCTCAACAACTTCCGGTGAAAAGCGGAAGTTAATCCAACAAATAACTACCTAAAAACAAAAATCGTTGTTTATTAGTTCCTGATTAGGTTGTGGTTTGTGATAGGTTTGTGTCTGATTCGTCTCCTCAGGTAAGAGAAATAAAATTAAGTTTGTTTTTATTTTTAAACATATTCAAGTAGCTCTATTTGTGATTTCAATTGACGGAAAAAACTTTTATTTAGACAATATTTGTTGCATGAAACAAAGCTTTTTGTTTTTATTTTTTACTTATTTTTTCTCTTCAGAACCTGAACATAACCTGTCATCAGAGTGTCTCTGTAATTTATGTATTCTGACATTTTATTTAGAAAACTTAGTTGTACATTTGTTGTTATAAGTAATTTGAGATCATGCTCTTGTCTTGTATGATAAATTATTGAGTCAAATACTCTGTGACTCACAAAAGGAGTAATATTTCAATTTATAAGGACAAATGTATTTTTTGGCAAACTTATCAAATGCATGAGCATAAACAGTAAGCCTATAAATGGGTCAYCAGACAGAAAAATTATGTTCAAAGGTCATGTCTTTGGTCTTACGTTCTGTTAATATTTTTTTTTCTGCTATGCATTTAGTTTGTCTTAGGTTTTGTTTTTTTTTTTGTCTTGCTCCCTTCCACCTAATCTTCAACAGCTATTTATATGTGTGATTTCTTACCAGTTCTGTACATTAATTTTCTCTCATTTGGTTATACCACAGTAAAATCTTGACTTCCAGAAATGTAAAAATGCAGTTCTCTCTCCAACTGCAATGAATACATAATAACTTTTAACATGTTTCAAAGCCTATTTTAAAGCTTTTTTCCCCAGACAAAAAACATGTTAAACAATCAGGTTAAGCAACTCATAGCAACATTTTCTTCTTCTTCCAAAAAGCGGTTAAGTGCTTTTGAATGATCCAAATAGGTTTAGTTTGAAGCTTCTTGGTATCTTTTACTAATTATGCAAGTAGGCAGTAAAATGTCCCCTGAGACTGACTAATAATGCAGGGTATTTACTTTGGTTTTATGTTTGTTTTCATGATGTGCAACCAATTCACCTACAGCTGGTAGTCCTCCATCTTTAGTGTCCAGAAGCAGATCGTCTGAGTGAGGCAGCAGTAAGCATCAGATCCTGTGCTATGCATGGTAAATTTTGTGGTTTTCTGTTTGATTTAATTGGGAGATTAATTCCTTTGAAAAGTGCATTGAAAAACCTTTCTTTGTCTGACAGCAATATAGTGTTGAAAACAAAATATAAACAACAAAAAATAAATATGTAATAATTTGTTATTTTAAAAAGGTAAATATAACATTGGTTCATTGTACATTGATTATTTTTTTATAAAAACAAAGACAATGTTTAAGAAAGCAAATTGATTAGAATTTGAAAGAAAAAAGCTAGTTGTGAATGTTTGAGATCAAATCTGAAAACTTTGTCAAAAAACTACTTGGTGCTCCATAAATGCCACCCCAACAAATGTGACGTTTCAAGAAACCCAAGGATTACCTCATCAGTGTACAGTTGGATTTAAAAAGATTTGTTTTTTACTTAATTGTACTCAAGAGGCCTCAGACTGTCCACCAGAGAAGACAAAAAATAGAACACTGGGTCTCAAGAGGATAATTAAATGCAAAAAAGTAAAATAAAATAAAATGCTTGGTTTTTGTTTGTAAGAGAATTTCATGAATTTTCATTAGTTTGAAATAAATCTAATCCAAACATGAAAAAAAGCAAAAACAATATGGTACTACAAAGCTCAGAGTGGAAAGTTAGAAATTAGTTTTGTTATATATAAAACCTCTTAACCTAGATTTTTTTGAGTTTGGTGTGCAAAATGCCCTCCTGGTGCATCAAGGGAAACCTCCACCACAAAGCTATTTTTGTCATTAAACTTGTGGTAATGTCAGTTTCTATGAAGGTTCACAGCAAAAAATCTTTCTGGAGAAGAGCACAACTTTTGAATGACTTTAACTGCACAATTCTTTGGAAAAACAATGGCAAAGCTAATTTTATAATAAACCAATGCAAAAGTAGTGATGAACTGAATTTTCTTACAAATGTAACCATGATTCTACAAATATCCAGATATACATTTCCTCAACAAATTGATAGTAATGATACTAAAATCTGTTACAAGATTTAGCTTACAGAAAACAATGTAAACCTTAATAAATTATTTGATGTCACAGCAGAAACATCAGGCCAACTCAGCCTCTGGGTACAAAGGTTGGTAAGTCAGCCTTCAAACACTGCTGTACATAAAATGAGGCCATTTACAGGAAACCTACTGACAAACCACAGACACAGAAATATCAGACCTAAACATCTGCATTACAATTTTATGTGTCGAGTAAATGAAAGTATCAAACTGTCATGGTTTTAATTCTACTTGTTGTTTGCAGTATCAGAAGGTTTGCTGTAAAATATTTTTTTCTAATATTAACGGTCATCCTGAATAGACACTGGTCACTGTAATATAAGAAAATGTTTAAAAATAGTTTCTTTGCATTCTTTTTAGGGTTTTAAGTGATTTTGTTCAAATCAAATTCTACAATTACATTATAGGCATACGGTAAATTGAAAATTGTCTTTGACTTGTAACATATTACATTTTGGACTTGGGTTGACTACAGTGCCAGTGTCCAGCCAGGTCTTTAACGTCAGGATCCACACAGCTGCAGATCCGGCTGGGACATCATTCCAGAGGCTGCTGCTCCTTCCATCTCTTCTTCAGGTCCTGGGTTCAGGGCAGAAGCTGAGGAAGACCACTTTCGCTCCCTTTTCTTTAAAGCTACAAGATGAAAATTATGACACACGTATGAAAGCACCATTTATTTTAATTTACATGACCTAAAAACAAGATTTATTGTTCTTATCCTTACCTTTTGAACTACATGGTGTCTGAACGGGCTTTTCTTGCTCTTCCCCAGAGGCTGAAGCCCGGATCTTCCTGACCACATAGCTGCAAGCTATATATATATATATG